TTGGACACTCAAACCAATCCAGGAATTCTCTGRGAATTCCATCCCAGGCAGGAATTCCTTCCCCAGATCCCACCCCAATCTCCCCTTTTCCACTCTGATCCATTCCCTGTGTCCTGTCCCTGCAGCCCTTGGCCCCAGTCCCTCTCCAGCTCTCCTGGAGCCCCTGGAATGTTCTGGAAGCTCTCCCTGGAGCTTTCCCTTCTCCAGACTGAAGGAGCCTGGTGTGAACAGCATCATCCAGGCTCTGGGRCTGATTAAAGGAATTTAATTTCCTTTAATGAGCCTCAGGATGCTGCCCAGCCCCTGACCACTGGAATGCACATCCCCACAGATTTGTGCTGCCCATTTTCTCTCTCCCACCTCTGCCCAGTGGATATGGGTGGAGGGAGAATGGGGATCCAGTTCTCAGCCCCTCAGGAGCCCCTCATTCTGTTCCTCCCGATAATTTCTCAGGAATTAAGAGCTCAGAGCTCAGGAGGCAGYGAAGGATCAGAGATTAGCGGTGGCTGCTGCTGGGGTGGCGATTATCGAGTGGAACAGGTTTATCTCGGTGTCTCGTGACCCCCCAGCAGCTGGTGAGTTACTCACCCTCCGTGAGCCTGGCAGGAGAGCAAACACCGCTGATGGGGCCGATAAAACCCTCAGGACTCACCAGACACGCTGGCAGGAACAGGGGAAGTGCAGGGGGGGACCTCAGGGGGCTGGATTTGGGTTCAAAGCTGCTGTTCTGGAAAGCAAAGCCGTGCTTGGGGTGCTCCATGCATGTCCCCACCCCTCCACTCACAGCTTTATCCTGCTTCCCAAACTGCCCCAGCTTCCCAAAATCTCGTCCTCTGTCCAGGATTAAAACCCACTGATGGTAAAACCCCAGTTGGTTCTCAGACCTGGAGAACCTTTTGCCACCAGAGCAGGAGCTGCAGAGCCCGAGGAAGCTCGGCCAGGATTGGGGTTCTGTGACCCCAGCCTGGTTTGGAAGCTCAATCTGGGTCTGGAGCTCTCCTCTTGGAGTGCCTGGTGGGATCACAGCTCATCCCACTCTGGAGCCCTGACCCCAAAGAGACCTGGAGCAAGAGCAGTGGGTGCCACCCAGAGGAACAGGAGCTGTGTCCCATGGTGGGACATTGAGGGACATGGGCTGGAGATGTCACAATTTGGGGTGAGGAGACCTAACAGGGAGGAGGGGATTATTGAGGATCCAGAGCTGAGCTCAACAGCAGGAGAAGCAGCAGGACCTGGCACCCAGTGGGGCCGTGCAGCCTCTGTGTTTGGAGAGCTCCAAGAGCCAAGGAGGAGGGACCTGCTGGGTGCCCAGAGCTGCCCACGCTTCACCCAGGAGGTTGAACACAAACCTCCTGTGGTCCCTTCCCACCTCCTCCCCAAGGAGAATCCTGCCACCACCTCACCAACATCACCCATTCTGCGTCACAAAGCCCCGACAGAGCCCCGCACCTTCCCCACGGCACCTCCTGCTCTCAATCCAGGGAAAATCACAGAATGGGAGCTGGGAGCTATGAGAGGCTCCTCACTGCCCTGGGAGCTGTGAGGAGCTGCTCTGGGAGGGCTCTGCTGCCCTGGGAGCTGTGAGAAGCTGCCCTGGGAGCTGTGAGAAGCTGCTCTGGGAGCTGTGAGGAGCTGCTCTGGGAGCTGTGAG